TTATTACCACTCACAAACTTAATGACTCAAATTTCCACCCATGGTCTCGAGCTGTTTTGTTGTTTGTCAAAGGTTGGGGTAAATTCGACCACCTCACATGTACGACTCGTGAACCTCAGAAGAGCCCAACATGTGCATCTTGGGAAGTGGAGAACTCAATGGTTGTGTCATGACTGATTAATTCTATGAAGACCTCGATGGGTTGCTCGTACATTTTTCCTCCGTCTGCCCATGCCTTCTGGACTGCCGTTCGAGATAGCTACTCGGACGTACAGAGTTGTGGACAACTCTATGAAGTTTTTAATAAGATATGTGTGGCAAAACAAGGATCTAAGATAGTGAGAAAGTACTACAACGAGTTGGTTGCCTTATGGATGGAATGTGACATCTATTATGACTACACGTGGAACTCTCCTGCAGATCTTTCTCTCTTCCAAAAAATTTTGGAAAAAAATCGCGTGTTCCAATTTCTAGAGGGTTTGCGGCCGTATCCTTGGCCATGATTCTCTCTCTTCAACTTGGGCGACATTCACCAAGGTCTACCGCGAAGAAAGCCGAAGACTTGTCACGCTCAACAACTCCACTAATCCAGCCGGGCCTTCAGCCTAGGCTCCAACAGTCCTCCACACTTGGCCACATCGTGGCGCATCAATTGTGGTGCTCCACACTCTACATGTAATTTTTGTCACAAATTCTATCATACCTGTGACAAGTGTTAGGAGCTTCAAGGGAAGCCGACGAACAAGTCTTCAACTAAACCTTTCATCGCTAAAGGTATCGCTACGATTCCTCAAAATTCACAACAATTCAAGTGACCCCCATTCGTGTCATCCTTGAATCATCAAACTCTATCAAGAATCGGATGAAACACTTAATTAAGCTGCTTGGATCTAGTTAGTTCTCCTCCGACTCGTCGACCTCCCATGTGTGTCAAGGTAACATTTCTTTGACACTCACTTTTTTGGTTTTACTAGTCCGTGGATTATTTATTCAGGTGTCTTGGACCACATGATTGGTTGCTCTCAATTCTTCTCGACATATTCTGTGTTCCTTGCGAGACACTATTAAAATTTTCACGGCTCCTGTAATTCTATTGCGGGTAAATGGTTGGTTGTACCAACAGTTGGGCTGACTTTGGAATCTTTATTACATGTACCTTTGCTTAAGTGTAATGTCTTATCAGTCAGTAAATTGACATATGACCTTGATTGCGTTGTTTCATTTTCTCTTGATGTTTGTGTCTTTAGGATCGTCATTCAGGGATGATGGTTTCAACTACTAAGCGGGTAGTCAAGCTCTACTTCTTTCAATAAAATGACATTGATGATGTGGTCACTCAATTCCATAGTTGTAGTTTTTTCCCTCTTTACTGCTTGTCCAGTTATGCTTTTACATTGTTGCTTGAGTCATTCCAACTTTCACTATTTAAAATAATAGTACCTTTTGTTGTTTATTGATAAAAAACTATCTACTTTTAAATGTGAAATTTATTATTTAGCTAAACATCATCGTGTACCATATCCACCCCATCGTTACACTCCCTCTCCATTTTCATTGCTTCATAGTGATTCATAGGGAGCCTCTCGAACTATAAGCTACACCAATAAGCGGTGGTTCCTTACTCTAATTGATGACCATATTCGGGTGACTTGGGTCTATATATTAATAGACAAATTCACCCAACCTTTACCAATTGCAGTCACCTTCAAAAATTTCCACTCCATTTTGACCAAATTCAAAACTTCATTCAAGTCCTTCTGATCGACAATGGTAGTAAGTACTTTAACTCTATATTAGGAGGATTCTTGTTGAGTAAGGGCATCCTTCATCATAGCTCCTGTGCGGATACCCCTCAACAAAATGAGATAGCCGAGTGAAAAAACCAGCACCTTTTCGAAGTGACTCATTCCATTATGTTTCAAACTAATATCCTTAAACGATTTTGGAATGACTCTTTTTATTCCGTCACCTATCTCATTAAAAGAGTTCCCACAAAAATTCAGAACTTTCGGACCCCGTTATCTGTCTTGATGTCGTGTTTTTCTACCAATCTTTTTTTCCCCACATTAGATCCCAAAATAATTCAGTGCACGACCTTTGTTCGGTACACAACCTCGACTTAGAATAAACTTGATCCCCACTCAATTAAATGTGTTTTGCTCGCTATCCAGCCACTCAAAAAGGCTATCCGTGTTTTCATCCTACCACTATGATAATTCTATGTGAATATAGATGTCTCCTTTTTTTTTTTTTTGAAAATGTTCTCTTTTTCCCTAACACTGCTTCAAGTGAGAGGGAGCTAGATTTTTTGGGCACTGTTCATTTTCCGACTCTGTTGGATATTCTACCTACTCCTACAACCATTGTATTTGATGAACCCTTAGTTCTACTGGTTCCGCCACCAACTAGACCAACATCACATCCATCCACTCTCCGTGTCTATACTCGGTGTTCCAAATCCTCAGTTGAAACTCGTCTCAATCCCCCTACACTCAAACCCGCTCTCCCGCTGTAGATTTTGGAATCTGTTTCGGTCGACATCCCCAAAAAGTCGCTCTCTCAACTTACGGGGATCACTCTTTCTATAAATAAGGAGTTGAATTCCCCCATATTAAGGTATGCTAACAAGCTTGCACTCTTTATTCCATGACAAAATTCCACAGCTTATCTTTGACTTACAAAACATTTGTCACTTGACGGATAGGGCTGCCATGTCCTGGAAGGCTGCATTCATGGATGATATGAATGCCCTTCGACACAACCATATTTGGGTTTTTGTTGATCTTTCTCGAGGAAAGAAAGTTGTGGATTGTAGGTGGATTTTCAACATCAACTTTAACTCTGATGGATCAATTGAACGCAATGATGCGTGGTTGGTCACCTAAGGATATTCACAAACATATGGAGTTGATTGATAGACGTTTACTCTGGTAGCTAAACTAAATACTATTCAGGTTTTGTTATCCCTTGTTGTGAATCTGACCCTTACTCTAGGTGGATGTTAAGAATGCTTTCCTCAACAGTGTTCTCGTAGAGGTGTATTTGTCCCTCTCACCGGGCTTTGACTCAACCTCTTTTTGTGGACAAGTGTGTCGACTTTAGAACTCTATTTAAGTATTGAAACAATCCCCCCAAGCCTTGTTCGACAAGTTTATAAAAGTTTTTTGTGGGCCATGGTTTCTTTCAAGCTTAATCTAATCACACAACGTTCTTCCGCCACTCATCCAATGACTGTTCTCATTCTCATCGTCAATGTCGACAATATCGTACTCACAGGTAATGATCTGCCGGCCTTGGAATCTCTCAAAGGGATCCGGATCGCATCTTTTGAGATTCTCTCCAGCATTTCCTTGGTATGGAAGTAGCGCGGTCCTCTCGGGCAATTAGCCTCTCCCAGCTCAAATATATTGACATATTTACTGACTGAGACAAATCTACCTCTTTACAAACTGATAGCTGTTCTAATGGATCCTAATGAGAAATTGGTATATGTTCCCAATGTAGTTCCGGTGAACAGGACACTACCAATGCCGAGTGGGAAAACTCATTTACCTAGGCCTTACACGCTCGGACATTTGTCACGACATTGGTATTGTCATTCAGTTTATGCATTATCCCTTTGAGCACCATCTCACCGTTGTACATCAGATCCTCTACCACTTAAAAGACACACGAGCTCAATTTTTTTGTTCTCTCGTCACACCTCTCACTCTATTGCAGTTTATAAGGATGTCGATTGGGCCGAGGCCATCCATAATCGACGATATATCTCAAGTTATTGCTCCTTCATGTTGGGAAACTTTGTCACGTTAAAAAGTAAAAAATATTCCGTGGTTACCCCTAGCAATGCTGAAGCCGAGTTTCATTATGTGTCCTAAAGGTATGTGAAGCTTTCTGGTTGTACATCATGCTCAGCGAGTTACATATGTCGTTCTTTGTTCCAATACAACTGTTTTGTGACAATAATGCCGTCATCAGCATAGCTCTGGTCCAACATGGTCGTACCAAGCATGTGAAGATTGACCATCACTTAATTAAGGAGAAGCTTGATTCAGGAGAAATTTGTGTTCCTTTTGTCCCATTCACAGGCCAACTCGTAGATATTCTCACAAATAATCTTAGTTGGTCGTTATTTGACGATTTCAAATCCAAGTTAAACATGATTGACTTCTATGCTTCAATTTGAGAGGGAGTGTTAGAAAGTATTTAGTTTCCTTTCCGATTATTTCCTAGTTTAGGACTTTCCTTTTATCATGTAGTAGTTATTAGGGAGAGATTTGAGTTTTATATTTTTTCTGTTATAGAATCATTGTATCTTGTATGTCTACCCATTTCAATAGCAATATAGCAATAATACTATGCTGCTCAATTCTCAAAATCTAGTATATATATAATTTACATCTCATAGCACTGAACAAGGAAGAAGAAGAAAATTGCACAACTTCTGGTCATTTCACCTTTGGCAAAGCTGTCTCATTTCTAGCCCCTTTTCTTATCATTTCTCAATTTATTACGAATCCATCAATTCTACTATGTTTACCTTAGTTATTTCATTCCTTAGCGGCTGATAATAAGCCTTATTGGATTCTTTAGTGAATAACTTTTTTTATAGGATTAATTTCACGCTTGGAAACCGTATTCAAACAATTTGGGATAATTGTTTCTGCACTTTTGAACTTTTGGTGTATCCAAAGATCACACATCCACTATGGCAATCACATGTTAAAACACTCGTCAATAACCTTGACTATTCACTAATCATTACAGCTTTAGTTATTTTTTGATCTTTGGTTGGTGCCTGGAATTTGTGGTTCCCAATTTCAATAATATCTTATCTGGCATTTTCTATTGTTTAATATCTGCAAATATTTTTTTGAGTAAGTCGGTTTCAATTCCCATTTGAAATATATATATATATATATATATATATATCTGTGTGTGTGTGTTGTGCATGCCCACACATAAGTTTATGTTTATATTTTCATCAATTATGGTAATAGGATCATGAATGGAGGCAAGCTGTAACTGCTGCTGGATCTGGTTGTGTTGCGGCTCTATCTGTTGAGAGATACCTTGTGGCCAATGAACTTCTTGTTGAATTTCACCAGGTAGCTGATTCCTCTTTTTGTGAGTTTTATAAGAGCATCATTTCGCTTTGTGTACTTTTTCACTTTTCTACAGTCAAATACTTGCTAATTTTAATTTCTGTTCAATGAATCTTAACGCTGCATTTATCTTTATAAGGTAATTATTTTTTTGCTGAATGCTTTTATCTAGGTTTTAGGGATCATCCCAAACTGCTTGTTTTGAACTGGTTTTCTTATCGACTTTTCTTTCATGGCTGTTGTTTGGTTTGCTTGTGCACAAAATTACTGCCAAGTAGAGGGTTGCTAAATTGAGTACATTTCTTTTGTAGAATATTTGATAAGAAAATGAAGTGAATGTTATCCGCATGCGAAGCAAATACATCATTTTTAACACATGAACTAAAATTTTTCGCTTTTGTTTTGCTTCGACTTTGCAGCAAAGCACAGAAATCCATAAATTTTGTCTCGATCAACCATTTTTCTGCAGTATCTTAGCTATATTTCAACCAATGCTAGCAAAATTTACGGGGACTGGCTGGCCCTAAACTAAAACTTATTTTGAACCCATGTTTTATTGTAAGAAACAGGGTAATTGCTGCGTGTCTGTGGACCACACTTGACTGCTTTTTTTAATGAGCTTAGCATTGAATCTTCTGACATGGTGGCACAATATGAAATTCCTGATTGTATACATTGAAGTGATTTCTGGCAGCTGCAATATGAGCTGATATCCCATACTGTTTTTCCGTAAATTTTCTTGTCAACAGCCTGTAACTGAAGAGGTAAAGAAGGAACTTACAGAAAAGGATGTAGAATGGCATTATGATGTTTCTCTTACTAAACACAAGGGCCAGGTAATGTTCTTAGCTAATTGCTTTCTGTTTATTTGAAAGCCGACACTTTCACTATGCTCTTTATATTTGCCAAATTTGCAATCATTATTCAACGAATAGTTCTAACAAAAGCATCTCTTTTGTAGTATGCATTGCGGAAATTGTACCATGAAAGCCCAAGGTTGCTTTGTGTGCTTTATACTTCTCCAACATGTGGCCCATGTAGAACATTGAAACCAATTTTAAGTAAGGTACGAACTTTTTCAGCTGCTTAATTCCCAGGTTCAGCCAGCAGCACATCCCTTAACTCAACAAAATGCTTCAGCTCTACGAAATGTTTGTTTAAATTTGCATGCATGTAAATTATTTATTGCTGCTATGCTACGCATAAAATTGATGGTTCTTCTTAGATTGACACTATTTTGGAAGGAGGAAAGCTTTCTGGACCTGACTGGGGTATTTGTGAATGGATGGACTGGGGAGGTGGTTTATGATCACCAAAATTTTTGCATAATACTTTGATTTATGTTTTTGAGCAAAAACCACAACTGGCATATATTAATGGAAATGATTGATGGAGGGAAGAAGATGATTAACTTGGTGGAGTGGGATTACCAATTAATGGATACATTTCTGCAAAAGACCTGAAAATTGACATCAAAGCAAGGCCTATCATTTTACAAAGAAATAAATTAACTCTATTTCTTTTTTATTCAACTTAGGATCATGATAGCTCCAATCGATACCTCCTTTAGGTACATGTGGCCATTTTTTAAAATTCTTACAATTTTGCTATTCCCCTTAATCCAACATTGCGCTTCTAGATCAGGCATGCATGGGTGCCAATATTGATGTTGATTCAGAGGGGCCAATTACAAGGAGAGAATAGGGCCGTGCTAGTTGTTTTTGTGCTTCACCAGCATTTCAGATTTTTGAAAATATACTTCATGAAATTATGGTCGGAATGGGTATGCCCTTCTCCTTGCCGATCCCCCGGGCGGGTGTGTCAAAAGTTTGATAAAACCAAACCAACCATACCAAAATTTAATTCAGTTTAAATGATTTGATTATAAATCAAATTGAAATTTAGTTGTTAGTTGAAGCTCATCAAGAATTACATATTATATGTACAATATCAATTTAATTTTATGAATCCTCCATTTAATGTTGAATTTTTGGTTTTTCGATTTTTTCAATTAAATGAACATTAAAACTGAGTCAATAACCAAAAGACGAATATTGAAGTTTTAAAAACCAAATACTGAAATGCATTTTTTGAAACCGAAACAAATCTACCAAACTTTTCGGTTCAGTTCAGTCATTTTGATTTAGGCTAAATAATGCACACCCCTTTGGATGGAAAAAATGGTAGCGAAAACTTCTTAGAACATGCAGGCGATTTCTGATCCCTTCTTAACATAACCTCACTCTCTCATTTGAAGAAAACTGAGTGAGACTACCTTCGCTGCGTTTGGCTTTCAGCTTGTGCTATAAAATCCTTCAAGATGGCATGAAATCAAGAAAAGAAATGCCTCCTTCTTCTTACTTCAAATCCTATTATGTTAAGCTTTATTAAGTGATAACCACGTCCCGTTTTACATGTTCAAATGCCATTTCATAACACCTTTTTGAGTTCAATATGGCCAGAAATTGAAATAGGATTCTCTTAGAATGCTTCAGTGTTTTGTCTCTTTTTAAAAGGTATTATGCATTATGCTATTTCAGCCAATATAATATAGGAAAAGGAAAAGTATGACTAATTAAGTACAGTTTTATGATAAATGTTCTGTTTATGCATATGTTATTATCTGCAGAACACTTTAACGGTATGCCTGAACTCTTTTGCGCAACCCGTTCCATCCCCTTCATTTATCAACTGCATTGGAGTTTATGAATATTAAATAATATGGCATAATCAGCTTCTTGGAGGATTCTTGATTTTTGTTTTTCAAATTTTGTAGTTTTGTGATAATTTTTGCTTTTAAGGACCTCTTCATTATTGCAGGTGATTGATGAGTTTGAAAAGGATGTACATTATGTTGAGATTGACATCGAGGAAGATCCAGAGATTGCTGAAGCAGCTGGAATCATGGGAACACCTTGTGTTCAATTTTTCAAAAATAAAGATATGATTAGGTTTGCCTTCACTGCTGATGATTGCTTTTTGGGATAATTACATACAGGCCACCCAAAATATTGATATTTATAAATTAACCACGCAAGTAATTTTTTTGAACCACCGAGCCGATGTATTTATGCGTGCCACGATCATACTATTGAGAATTTGATAAAAATGAAAAATGGTGGTTGATTTGTAAATAGCAAGTTTTGGGTGGTTTGTATGTAATTTCCCCATCTTTTTTTTTCATTTTGTCACATGAGGAGACGATTGATTTCTAAAATAATAAATGATTCAATGAGTTACCTTCTGGTGCCTTGATATTTTTATCTGAATGCAGAGGGTGGTTTGTATGTAATTTCCCCATCTTTTTTTTTTTTTCATTTTGTCACATGAGGAGATGATTGATTTCTAAAAAAATAAATGATTGAATGACTTCAACTAGAAATACCTTCTTGTGCCTTGATATTTTTATCTGAATGCAGGTCAATTCCTGGCGTGAAAATGAAGAAGGAATATAAAGAATTTATTGAAGCCAATAAATGATATTTTTTCAGGCACGGATTGATGCACTCTTCTTTGGATTTTGTAGTGTTTGTTCATGTCAATTCAGCTTGCTTCTTGTTCCAAGCAACCATTTTTTTTTTCATTGTATCTAATTTCTTAGCTAATTGTTCTTTCTCTTGCAATGGTTGATTTGATTTCTAAACAATTTGCTACTTTGCTCGGGGGACTTTTTAAAACGTATTTTTTACTTTTTTTTTTTTTTTTGAATTTAAATACGAAAACCCAATTCTTTGAAAAAATATTACATCAGGACTCTGCACGTAGAGTTACGTGCGGAGTCCAGTGAAATTACGCTATGAAGGTGATCGGTTCGGTAACGCAAGAAATATTCCCTTTGTGTTATTGTATGTTATTCAGGTGTTATTGTGTTTTGAGAATATTTTCATTGTTATAATAAAACAATAACACATCAACAATACTTGAATAATACATAATAACGCCTGAATAACACACAATAACACCTGAATAACATGGGAGGAATATTCTCTTGTGTTAGCAGACATTTTTTTTCCCTAGGTAGTTTCTTTGAAAAAATATTACATCAGGACTCTGCACGTGCGGAGTCCAATGAAATTACGCTATGGAGGTGATCGGTTCGGTAATGCAAGAAATATTCTCTTTGTGTTATTGTATGTTATTCAGGTGTTATTGTGTTTTGAGAATATTTTCATTGTTATAATAAAACAATAACACATCAACAATACTTGAATAATACATAATAACGCCTGAATAACACACAATAACACCTGAATAACATGGGAGGAATATTCTCTTGTGTTAGCAGACATTTTTTTTCCCTAGGTAGTGTAATTTCATTGGACTCTGCACGTAACTCTACGTGCGGAGACCTGATGTAATATTTTTTCCAATTCTTTTGTATTTACATAAAACCTTTCATTTTTATATGTATAAAATTTAAATTGTTAATATTGCATCAAAAATATCATTATTATTAATCTTAAAAGAGAAATATATTTTATCTTGTATTGACTTGAGCAACAAAGTGAAATAGATCTAAACATCATATTTTGGCTGTTAGATGTATAAATACATTAGCATTGTGTGGCATGTATGGACGTGCCCTAGGATTTCTCATGAAACTCTAATAAGATCTTATATCAAAATTTACAACTCTTGGTAGTATCTAAGTGTCAAATATATGTGGCAATGTAGTGTTTATCGTCTTAATGTTATTGAAAACCTTTCATACGTAAACATGAGACACACATTTATATATGCATGAATAAGCTTCATTCATGTAAAAAAAATTAGGGTCATGTACATCAATACTGACCAAATCCTATCTATCTACACAACTAACATCTAAATTTTAGATCAAGTAAAATCACCGGCTGCCATATCGGTGATTAGACGCATCTACCTGAAATAAGCAACAATTTGCCAGAATGCCCAGCCGCACTTGAAATTTCTCCAGTGTATTTGATTCTTATGCAGATCTGAAGGCAAGCTTTCTCTACAAAGCTTTCTAAGAGTTAACATATTAAAATTTCATCAGTCATTTTCCGTAGTATTTACTTATAAAATTCAAAACTTCATTTTTTTTAATAAAAAAAAAAGCTGATAGTTCTAAAAAATATTTTTCCTTAATTAAAAGTATTTTTTAAAAAAGAAAGATTTAAATTTTTTTTTTGGAAATATATAAATACTATTTCATAGAGATTTCTTTTATAGATCAATAATTATTTATAGATATAAATTTTCACATTGAATTCATAATTATTTCTTATGATGATCAGTGTTAGATTTTTTTTTTTTTTTTTGGTTCGATAATTAAGTATTAAAAATGATCTTAATTTGCTAGAACTAAATGAAAATATGACACACCAGCTAAGGGTCCGTTTCGGGCAGCTTGTGCGTTTTAGGATAAGCTGTTTATCCTGAAACGCGGCCCGCGGGCCGGCTGCAGGGGTTGACCCGCGGGTGTAAAAACTCAAACGCAGTTTCGGATAAGATGATGAAACATGCGAATCAAACAGTACCCGACCGTACTTATAAACTGCCCCAAACGGACCCTAAATAGGACGCAATGGAGAAAAATGATTCATGTAGCCGACCCCACGAAGTGGGATTAAGGCTTTATTGTTGTTGTTGTTGTTGTTCAATAATTAAGTAATTTAATATGTCCATGTAGAACAATTCTTCGTAGGCGTGCACAAATATGAAAATTTTGAACTTAGTTATATTTGCATGCTTGCTAAAATCTTATACTATGTTAATTTGGTGTGTGTGTGTGTACATGCATTTCTAATGGGAGAAATTATCAAATAAATTATATTTATCAAAATGATTCTTTCTTTTAATATAAAATATGGATATTCACAATTAATGGTCATGAATGTATAATATAATATTTCCTACTCCAAAAAAAAAGATTATGTTATAAATTTCTCAACATAGTTGAATATTTTGTATATGGCCTCTGAACTTTTTATTTATCAAATTTAAAAATATTAGATGTTCATATGGTAAACACAAAAATCATGTATACATAACATTAGATAAAACGACAATCAATTAACATTGATGCGTCGTAAAACAATTTTATGAAGCACGATTTTCGATGCTTTTTTTTTATAAAAAGATCCTCTAAATTCAAATTTAAGATCATCCAAGCTCTAATTTCAACAAGTTTATGATTAAATGGAGTATTTCAACAAGATGAACTCATATATACCAAAATTAGTTTAATTTGGGTCCAATCAAGCCTAAATCAGGTTATTGAAACATATTTTGAGAATTTAGATCTCTCCTCCACATCTGATAGTTTTTAATGAAGGTCAGCAATCATCAGATTCAACTAACAACTTTTCACTCTACTTTATCCAAGCAAATCACCTAGAAGACCAAATTCTTCCCTCATTTTCAGAATCAAGAGACTTCATGGGAGTCGGAATTGACGTCTATAGGAGTGAGCCTCGAGCAGAATCGGGTCTTGATAAACTCATTATGAGAGCTACCACATTAGTGGCATCCATCAAAGTCACCTTGGATAATTCCACCTGACCAGAAGATGGATTAAAACTCTTCCACTTCCCTATAATTTTTTGCCTCCTCTCACCCGGTCCATGCTTCTCTTTGTTAAACATACTATAGATCAAGATCTTGTCCGACACGTTCGCCTGAGATCAGGTGAGATCCACCATAATTTTTCGATGTGAACGAAATGTGCTTGAGAGATGTCTCATCGCTCTTTTTTTAAGAGCCAAAAGTCTCATAATTCAAGAGATTATTCGCATTATATTTTTTTTATTAAGAAGAAGATTCATTGATTAATTGATTAGAACTGATACAGACCGAATGACTCTCATTCCACTCGACAGCAGAAGGCTAACAGGGCAGGAAAAGTCTGAGAAAGGAATGACAGAACTGATTCAAGACAACGAAAGATCAGCAGATCTAACAAGGATCTAAATAGCACTCATATGAGGGGTTGTCCATGATAAGTTAACAATTTATTATTTTATATAAAATTTAGATCAATTCTCTTCATTATCTTTGAATTTGTTTGCTAACAAAACAAATAATTTTATTTAATTAAATACAATAGAAATTGCACATTCATTTTTTAATCTTATTCGTATCATCGATTTTTTATGGTTTTGAATTAATTAGAATAGAGAAAAACTTATTTAAAGTATGAATTTATTTAAGAATTTTAATGCCATTCTTGAAATATATAGAAGATACACGTAAATTTGCAGTAGAGCCCAAATATTTTAGGAAATTAATCTTAGTGAGACACATTTGCCACATGATCAATTGTCACTAGTCCAAATACAATACTCTCTTGAGCAAGAGAGCATTGACACATATCAAAATTGCTCATATTTGAGGAAAGCTCTTTGAAATTTGGCCGGGTTCCTCCGCCGGTCGGGCTTACGCGCTAGCAAATAAAGGAAAGATTTTTATCATATTTCGAATTTATTTTTATTTGGAAAGGAGCCGTTGAATATAGACGTTAAAATATGAACTGAGTCGCAGCCACCATCTTCCAAAACCAGAAACGTAGCTTCACCCTCACAAACAATTGTTTGCTTCTCTTCTTCCTCTCAGGAGCGAGGAAGGGAAGAAAAGCTGCAGCATTCAGTTTCCTGCGATCTCCGATTTCAATCTTCTAAGCATTAGGATCTTTGCTCTTCTTCATCTTTTTAATCTTTTTTATTTTTCGCAGGATTTCCCTGAGTTTTAGGTTTTCAAGTTAATTGCTTCATTATTTCTTCTTCTTCCTTTATTATTACTTTTTCTTTTGTTTTTGACAAATGGATGCAGGATCTTTTGGTTCTTCTCTCTTCTCTTTCACTGAAAAGCGTCCGCCAAGATGTCGCAAACCCTTCGGGAATCTTGGATCCACTGTCTACATCCCGCCTCTCCGCAGTTCTTCCTCCAATCCATCTTCTTACTGGCAAAGCGTAAGAATTCATTCTCTTTGAAAAAAAACATTTTTTTTTTCTTACATATTTTGCACCAATTCTTCTTACGCCGATAAATTGCTTCAGTTTCTTTGTTTTATGAATGTTTTCTTGCTTAGTTCTACACGTTCTTCTGATCTGTTTAAATTTATGTCTTAATGTTCTTGCTTGACATCAGGGCGACAGGTTCATACCAGATAGATCTGCAATGGATTTTGATGTTGCCCGGTACTTGTTAACGCAACCCAGAAAAGAAAAGGAGAACCTTGGAGTTGTTTCACCTGCAAAAGAGGCCTATCGTAAGCTTCTCGCTGAGACACTTCTGAATAACAGAACCAGAATCTTGGCATTCAGCAGACAGCCTCCAGCTTCTAATGATTCGATGCTCTCTGCAATTTCTGAAGCTTCTTCTTCCAACCAAAGGCAGAATTCTAAACGCAAAAGATACATTCCACAGGCAAAACCTCTTCTTCCACTCTTCTGTTTTTGTTCAATGTTTGATTTATCTTTTTTTTTGACACATTATATTGATTAGAACTGTTCTTGTTTTTCATATTGTAAATATGACACAGTCTGCAGAGAGAACATTAGATGCTCCAGATCTGGTGGATGACTTCTATCTAAATGTGCTTGATTGGGGAAGCAGAAATATCCTGTCCATTGCTCTCGGAAACACTGTATATCTGTGGAATGCTTCTAAAAGTTCGACTTCTGAGCTTGTGACTGTCGACGATGATCTTGGTCCGGTTACCAGTGTCAGCTGGGCTCCTGATGGTCTGCACATTGCCATTGGATTGAACAACTCCTATGTTCAATTGTGGGACTCAAACTCAGCTAAATTGGTATGTAGAATTTTGTTCAATTTTGAAACTCTCAATTCCTTTTTATTTCATAAACACAAACCATATCAATCCTGTATCTTTTGTTCATTGCAGTTGAGAACGCTGAATGAAATCCATCGCTCTCGTGTCGGATCTCTTGCCTGGAACAACAATATCCTCACCAGTGGTGGAATGGATGGAAAGATTGTGAACAATGACGTGAGGATAAGAAACCATGTAGTCAAAAGCTACAGAGGACACCAGCAAGAAGTATGTGGCTTGAAATGGTCAGAATCTGGGAAGCAACTGGCAAGTGGTGGCAATGACAACCTGCTTCACATATGGGATCAAGCCATGACAGCCTCCTCTTCTTCCTCAGCCCGGAATCAAAACCCATGGCTTCATAGATTTGAGGACCACAATGCTGCAGTAAAGGCTTTGGCTTGGTGCCCATTTCAGAGCAATCTGCTTGCTTCAGGTGGAGGGGAAAATGATAAATGCATAAAGTTCTGGAACACCGCAACTGGTGCTTGCTTGAATTCGGTAGAAACAGATTCCCAGGTTTGTGGGCTGCTATGGAACAAAAATGAGCAGGAGCTTCTGAGTACTCATGGTTACATTCAGAACCAGCTCACATTGTGGAAGTATCCATCCATGTCTAAGCTTGCTGAGCTCCGCGGCCATACTTCTAGAGTTCTATATATGACTCAGGTAAGAATTGCTGCTATTTTAAAGATTTTTTTAAAAAAATGAAGTTTTGTATGGTTAAGCGCTGAGGCATTGGAGTTGCAGAGCCCATATGGCGGCACGGTGGCGACGGCTGCTGGGGATGAAACGCTGAGGTTTTGGAATGTGTTTGGGAGACCGGAAGTGGATAAGCCTGCTGCTAAAAAACCATATTCAGAACCGTTTGCTAATTACAGCCGCATCAGATGAGGAGAGTTTTGCATGCGCGACAAAGAAGATGAACCAGATGAACCAAATCGTAAGTATGTATGATCATTAGGATGTTTTAAGTTCAGTGGATGTCAAATCAATCATAAAAACTGAATTTTTGACTATTTTTTTTTTTAATTTTCTTGTCTTTTTTGCAGATTTTGGTGAAAGCATGCACGGATTCGTTTGAAGAAGTTTGTAGATGATTGAAGCAAAATCATTAATACTGGCGAAATCTTATACTTAGATTATTTTTAAATTTAAATTAATATTATTAACTTAATTTCTTAAAAAATTAACAATAGGCTATATATCTTTCCTATATGGCATGATTTATAGAGTGATGTGGAAGAAACCTTGACAAGTAGGCAAGATATCTAATTTGGTTTTTTAAATATTTAATTTTTTAACAGATTAATTTCTAAAAAAAACAAAATGATGATAATTTCTTATTTGCATAAAAATTGAATAAATTTTGAGTGGAATTTTTTAAATAAGATTAGCTTGAAATTTTCTTTCTCATTTAAATTTAATTTCTAAAAAAAATAAAAATAAATTAAAAAAATTAGTTACACAAAATATTAAATAAAAGTTGAATAATTATTTGATCCTACCAAAATGACTTTTTTTTTTACATTTAAATTTTATTTCTTAAAAATAATTATTAGAATAATAAGATCAACATTATTTAAAAAAGTATTAACACAAAAAGACCCACCCAACCTTTATTTATCTTCTTATTTCTAAAAATTCAACTGTATTTCCTTTTCTTTGAAAACTTAATATATTTATTTAAATTTAATTTGAAAAAGTGAATTAAAATTAAATTAACATTTTTAAGAAAAATAATATTTGCAAAAAATTGTTCCTACTTGTCAAGTTTTTTTTCACATCACTCTAAAAATAATAATGATATTAATTTAAATTTAAAAAATAATTTTATTTTAAAATTTCGCCTTCATTATATATATATATATATATATGTATATAATTAATTAATTTATTTATATATATTTTTTTATTGTGGCTTGAGCTTTGCCACATCTTTTGATGTGTTTTAATGTCAATCTGCATATCGTAATGCAATTTTGATTGTTTTGCCTCAAGTTGAGAGCATGCCAGTTATTTTTATTTTTATTTATTTTTTAGGGTAATTACATGCAGACCACCCTAAACTTGCTAATTTACAAATTAACCACCCTATTTCATCTATTTTTCTCAAATTCTTACTCAAATATTTCACCATTCATGTTAAGTACAGTAGTTCGAAAAAATATCACCTTGATGATTAATTCGTAAATATGAATCTTTTGATTGGTCTCTATGTAATGTGGTCTCCATTCATTTACTTTTTGTATGTTTGAGCTTTGTCAAGTTATGTGGACATATAATACTGTTAATTTTGGTTTTTTTGTAATGTCAAGCACATAGTCTGAATTCAAATGTTTATTAGTTGCTTAATTAGTATGCTCTTAATCTCAATGTTTACAAATTAGTAATTAGGAAACAAATTGAATAATACATTATTTATGGCAATATTTTGATTTTTTGGGATAATTTCATACATAGCACCTGGAATATTATGAAATTTGGCGCACTTGTGCTATGTTTGAAATGCCAAATTGATGTATTTATGCATGCCAGGATCGAACCATTGAGGGTAATTAGGAAACAAATTGAATAATACATTATTTATAGCAATATTTTGATTTTTTGGGATAATTTCATACATGGGACCTGAAATATTACGAAATTTAGCGCACGTGTGCTATGTTTGAAATACCAAATTGATGTATCTATGCATGTCAGGATCGAATCATTGAGAAAATGAAAATTGTGGGGTCTTATCATGAATATTGATATTTGAGGGAGAATATGATAAAAAATGAAAAATATGGGTTGAGACTCTCAACTTTGACACCATACATAGATTTTTGTCAGCTTATATTTGACCACTAACTTCTCTTCTTAACCTCTTAATCATCATTAATACTAAATAAATTTTCTACGGTAATAAATTACTAGAATACTCTTATGTTAATAATCCTCACATTCATTTGTGGAACCAACTATCACTATTGTTTTCTTCGTTTTTCTTAACTTCATTCGCACTACCTTAGTTAACCTATCTTATAATTTCTTAGTTTTAATGTTAGCAAACCCTAACAAATGAAAATATTGTCGCTCATCTTTTTAGAGCATAGGTGAATCTGACTGACTGCTTAAAATGAATCCTATTATTCCTTTGAATAAGAAAATTAGAATTGATTCCTCTTATAGCTATTGGCAAATGGTTGAATTTGAAATCATGCCTTGATATTCTTCTTTTAGCTAAATTTCAAGACAAAAATATGTTGAATGGCTTCAAGACCCACTTTGATGTAGAGAAATCTTCTATTAATGATTTTTATACATAGGAACAAGAAGAGCATGTATAAATGTTTAAAATTTATCTTAAAACATGGTGGATGCAAATACACCTACTATATATCAAAATTGCTCATAAAATTTGGAGTCAACTCATTATATTAGTGGGAGCCTTCAAAGCCTTTTCCTTGCTTTCTTAAGCTTTAAGAATATGATCAACACCTCATTTAAATACAATAACATTATATCAAATCCATATTTGGTTGCCCCATCTCTACTAGTTGGGATGTTGATGCTTAGATTTTGAGTAGTTTTAAGGTTTTAAGGATAATATATCAAGTATAATTGCGAAAATAGATAGACGGTATCAAATCTTATTTGTTTGGAGGGATGTTGATGCTTAAATTAAAACAAATTATTTTCATTATATAAGTTTCATTATGCTTCAAGTAATATAGTATAACTAAGAGTTTTTAGGATCTCCTCATCAAAGTTTAGATGCATTATCATATGCCAAATATTTTTAATTGTGTTATTTATATATAGTTTCATCTGCCAATTATTTGTAATCTCTTCATGTTGTAATAATTTCATTATCATGTTAAAAACTCTACTTTTTAAGAAAAAGATTAACCATAATATCAATATGTATAATAATATTAAAAAATAAATAAATAGTTATTCTATAACACGTACTCTTCGCTTTCTTTCAATAACAAAAAGATGATTTTTTTAATTAAAACTGCTTAGGAAGAAAATGAAAAACATGATTGTTTATGTAATTGATTAGTAGGAAAAAAATAATTGACATAAAAAATGTAGAGAGCTTATGAAACATTTTAAACAATATACATGAGATAAAATGCTTAATTGAATTCCTTAAAAGAAATGTACAAAATTAAGCTAATCAACAATTGGTAACACCAAAAATAACAAAACCTCCAACAATTCCATCCACTTGAGTGTGGCGACTTGTTCATGCTACCATGACCAACTTAAAAAAAATGTGGAGTGGGAAGTCTTAGAGGAGAAGGCTAGTGGATCCATGCTTTTGTGACATAAGGGGATTTGATATTATAACATAATTAAAGAAGTTTAATGGAAGACAGATGTATGTGTCATATTTTATGACTAGCCTCTAACAATTTTTTTTTGAGAATTTGATTGTGGTGCTAGTGTTGGCTGCCCAAGTGCCAATCGGGAGTGGTCGACTCTCGGGCGAGGATGATAGGATTGACCGTCCATGCAGATCTCTCAAGACTTATAAGGAAGTAATTTATGAACATCAGATATCCCCCGAGTCACTGGCTCACCGTCTGAATGAGATTGAGAACAACTTCGCTTAGTCGGCCAGGATTCATGGAGGCAAGGAGATATGCAAGCTACTTGCTCTTGTGGAGAAAGTGGAGAGAATGGAGGAGAAGATGACCACTCTTCGCCAAGAGCCGTTGGACGCCTGAGAGAGATACTTCATACTCCACGCCCAAGCCTAGATGAAATGGGTCAATCTATTTAATTTTGGGGGAGAAGTTCTATATAATAGACTACTTCGGCCGGGATATGTTTTGATTGAAGTAGTGAATGAATCACTTCTAAATTATTTTTTCTTGGGGTAGCTCCAGAGCATTTTTTGTAATTTATAATCATTTTATGGAATATTTTTCTTTCTTGGCTTGTTTGTGATTCTTCTTCCAACTTGTTTTTGAAATTATTGTAAAGTTCCATTTTTACCCTGCGTGACATTCAGTTTTTTTCCTTCAATTTTCTTCATTCCTTCAACAATTTTTCCTTTTGCATTCCATTTCATGGCTACAAAATCCTTTTGCGCCTGTCGTCTCAAACAATTAATTGTCGATAACTCAGAGGGAAGTGGATCGTTTACAAGAGGCTTGTGTCCTCTATCCCATCATGAAGCTTCTAGTTGCTGGCGAGAATGGTCAAGCGACTTATTCATTTGGCACTGACTTTATTTTCTATAAAGATCAATTCCACTTTAGTTTGAGACTTCGCGTCTGCCAGGAGTTGTGGGTCGTCTTTAATGATTATAGTTATTCTACTCTGAGATTCCATAGCGGCATCATGTCCTTCGACATTTTTTTGTCATCGATCGGAGATCCCTTGCGCAATGGAGCTCTTCACTTGTATGTTTGCATTCTAGGTAAACTAAGATGACTATGTTCAGTTTGCCTGTATTTGCAAGTTCCAGTCGCTAGGACTGGAAAAATAAAGTGGACTGTAAACTTTGCTTATCCCTAGGGGTGGTACATTCAGACCATTTTGTTTGGTAGAACCTCCGCAAAAATAAAGAAGAATGTGCAGTATCAGGTATTAGTGGAAGTTAGGGAGGTCGAAGGGTGTTAATTTCTAGTCCGCCAATACCTTGATCAAGAAACTGTCAACCGTGTGTACAACTAGAGGCTTTCAGATGGATGATGTAGGAGGATTGGCTGGCCTTTGATGCCCAGGAGGTTGAATAGGAGGCAGTAGTTGCCACCAACGCATCAAAGAAGAAGGAACGTGAGGTCATTCATGCCGAATCTACCCACCTTAAAAAGATGTTGAAGTTACATACCGACTGAAACTGCCAGTGTGCCATGCTGGGGAAGATCTGGAAGGTGCAGAAATGGTTTATTCCATGTATGATTTTCCTTCCTTTTATGTTTCAAAGGATTTCCACTGGCGAGCTAATCCTTATTCTGAGAAAAACTATTATGACACCTACTAAAAGCTCTTTTTCGATTGCAGGCCCATAAAACATGCAGCACCAAGAGGCCAAGCAAATGACGAGCATGGAGGAGTCCAACCAACACGAAGGAAACTACTGTGTAAACTTCAAATTAACTCAAACTTTACATTCTATTTGTAAT